CCCCCCAGGCCCCCCCAGGCCCCCCCAGACCCATTTCAGTCTCCCCCAGTCCCTCCCAGTTCCCCCCAGTCCCTCCCAGTTCCCATCCCGGCCCCTCCCTGGAAGCGCTGGACAAAGGCTCCTTTCCTGTGGGGGGGGCCCCGCCCCGCCCCCCCCGCGACCCCCGCGACCCCCGGGGGGGGAGGGGCAGCTCCGCCAGCGCCAGAACCGCCCCAAAAACGGCACCGGGACCCCCAGAACCGGGCGGGGGGGGCGGCCGGGACCCCCCGAGTCCCGGGAAACCCCAAACCCCGGGAGCACCGGGCCCTGGGACCCCCCAGAACAGCTCCGGGACCCCCGGGAGAGCTCCGGGACCCCCAGAACAGCTCCGGGACCCCCTGAACAGCTCCGGGACCCCCCAGAACAGCTCCGGGACCCCCGGGAGAGCTCCGGGACCCCCCGGCAGATCCTGGGAGCCTCCCGAAGCTTTGGGAACGACCCCCCGAATTCCTGAGACCCCCCCCGGACTTTTTCTGGGTGTCCACGGATTTTCTTGGGACCGTCCCGGACTTCTGGGACCCCGCCGGATTTTTGGGATCACCCGCGGATTTTGGATCCCCCTCTGGATTTGGGATCCCCCTCTGGATTTGGGATCACCCCCGGATTTGGGATCACCCCCGGATTTTGGGATCCCCCCCCGATTTGGGGTCCGGCCATGGGGCTGTGGCTGCTGTGGCTCTGGGTCCCCCTGGGGCTGGCGGAGGAGGGTGAGTGGCACCCCCGGGACCCCCCGGGATTTGGGGCGGGGGCTCCGGGAATTTCGGGGTTTGGGGACCCCCGGGCCCTTTCGAGGGGTCAGAGACCCCTGGGATGTGAGGGGGGTCTGGACACGGGGGGGTCTCTGGGGTGGATTTGGGGTTTCTGGGGTGGATTTGGGGTTTCTGGGGTGGATTTGGGGTCTCTGGGGTGGAGTTTTGGGGTCTCTGGGGTGGAGTTTTGGGGTCTCTGGGGTGTCTGACCCCTCGTGACCCCCCAGAGACGCTGCTGGACACGCGGCTGGAGACGAGTGACCTTCAGTGGACTGTCCACCCGCAGGGGGAGGGGCAGGTGCGACACGGGGGGACACGGGAGGGGACACGGGGGGACACGGGAGGGGACACGGCGGGGACACGGGGGGACACGGGGGGG